CAAAATGTCATAAAGTTTTCTTCTTTATGGGTGAGTAATACTCTCTTGTATATATGAACCACATTTTCTTTATCCATTCATCTGTTGATGGGCATCTAGATTGTTTCCACAGCTTAGCTGTTGTGAATTATGATGCTGTAAACATTGATATGTTGTGTCAATGTAGTATGCTGATTTTAAATCCTTTGAATATATACCAAGGAATAGTATAAATGGGTCAAATGGTGGTTTCATTCCTAGTTTTTTGAACAATCTCCATACATCCATTTACGTTTAAAACACTAGAGGAACTAGGTATAATAGGAACATACCTCAATGTTGTAAAGCTATATATAACAAACTGAAGGTCAATATCATTCTAAACAGAAAAACTAGAAGGATTCCCTCTAAAACAGGAACAAGACAGGGATACTCTTTTTTACCACTTCTATTCAATATAGTCCTTGAAACTCTAGCCCAAGCAATTAGGCAAAAGAAAGAAATTAAAGAGTTATGAATAGAAAAAGAAGAGCTCAAACTATCTCTTTTTGCCAATGATATGATCTTATATTTAGATGATCCAAAAAACTCCACCAGAAAACTTCTAGAACTCATAAATGAATTCAACAAAGTAACAGGATACAAAATTAACGCCCATAAATCAATTGTGTTCCTATATACCAATGATTAATTTCACATTATATTTACCATACAAGTACCTATTTTTTCTAAAGTTCCATTCAACACTCGCCCTCATTTTTTTTTCCTTTTGTTTCTTTGTTGTTGTTTGCTTAGTGTATCCTTTTTAGGACACTTTTGCATACCCCAACTTTATGAAAATATTTTCCAATGTTTTCTTATAATTTTACCTTTCAAATTTAGATAGATGATCCACGTGGGTTTTTCTCCTTTTTTTTTTTTTTTTTTTTTTTTTTTAGTATGGCATGAAATAGGGAAAGATCTTTCTTTTTCCCTCTGCTCTTTTTACTAGGGCTATCCATTTGACTCAGCGTCAAAAGATTATGCTTTTCCCAATATTCTGTAATACCATCTTTGACATATATCAAGTGACTATGTATGGGTCTGTTTTCTGAAGAATCTCCATACTATTTTCCATAGTGGTTGTACCAATTTGCAGTCACACCAGCAAGGTATGAGTGTACGTTTTTCCCCACATCCTCACCAACATTTTTTGTCGCATGTATTCTAGATAATTGCTGTTCTGACTGGAGTGAGATAAAATCTTAGTAGTTTGATTTGTATTTCTCTAAATTGCTAGAGATGTTGAACATTTTTTTATATATTTGTTGATTGATTGTATTTCTTCTGTGAAGTGTCTGTTCATTTCCTTTGCCCATTTATTGATTGGTTATTTGGTTTTTTTGGTGTTATGTTTTTTGTTTTTTGTATTTGTTAGCAATAACAAAGCAATCTAAATGCTTTGTTATACTAACATAACAAGTTGTGCTTTTTAGGCTGTTATGAGATTACATAGTAGGAGTCCCCAGTATAGAGTAGCGTTATGGAAGGCTTCCCAGATTAAATGATATTTGGATTGAGAGCTGAAGAATTAGTAAAGATAAAAACAGCAGGGAGAGAAGATATTCTAAGTAGAGGAAAGATAAAGATCCAGATGATATATGTTCCTCAAAATAATTCAGCTCTAAGTTTCTGAGGAACCTTATGCACAAGAACAGTAGAATTTAAGTACTCTCCTTAGGAAAAAAATGAGAAAAAGTAATTCAAATAATTTTCCATAGGACTTAATTCTTTATAGAACCCCAGTTGATGAAAGTAGGGAGAAGAGCATGATGTGTTTACTTTTGAGGCATTTGATTTGTTGGTATTTCTTTTGTTATTGAACCATTCTTCTCCTCTTACTGTGATACTATACCCTTCTGGTTGTTATGCCTCTGATCATTTTTCATCAGACTACTTCAGCCATTCTTCCTCTTCTGGCCACACGGAAGTTTTGTTTCTCTGAATGTCAGCCTTCTCACTTCTCACTCCTCTCTACTTACCCCAGATGGCCTGATCCATACCTGTGAAATTTATTAGAGCACTAAAACTCTTGTAAATTCCTGAGCAATACTCCTGAATGATAGTAACATCTTTTGTTACAAGATAACAAAAGTTATCTTTCCTGTCACAAAAGCTTCTAAAACCCTTGAAATCACTAGCATGTGATTGAGTTTTGTTTTTTTGTTTTCCTGTGTTAATGAGATAACTGATTGGCTGAAAACTCCACAGAGCCTAAGGATAAGGGCTAGTTGCCAGAGAACCATGTGATTTAAGGATTGGAACTTTCCTTCCCACATCTCTAAGGAAAAGGTTGGAGATTAAGTTAAACACTAATGGCCAGTGATTTAATAAATTGTGTCTGTGTAATGGGATCTCTATAAAACTTATGACTGAGAGGGTTTAGAGAGCTTCCAGGTTAGTGAAGATATCTACATTCTGGAAGGGTGGCAAACTCCAAATATCTCCAAATACAGAAGCTTCTGTGCTAAGAACACTTTCAGACCTTGACCTATGTACCTCTTCATCTCACTCTTTATCTGAATCTTTTATATTTTTTGTAAACAACTGGTAATAGTTACATTCTATGAACCATTAAAATCTGTGAACTTAAGAAGGGTCATGGGAACCTCTAGTTTATAACCAGGTGAGATTGTGGAAACTTGCTGCTTGTGATTGATATATGAATTGAAGTCCAGTCTTGTGTAACTGAGCCCTTAAATGCAGTTGGTTAAATTAATGGCAGAATTGGATTAAATTACAAAACAGTTGATATTTTTAGAGAATTGGAGAATTGATTGGTGTAGGGGAAATCTCCACACATTTGTTATCAGAAGTGTGAGTAGAAAAATAGTTTTCATTTTAACACCCATGTCTCTGTCGCTAATATGTTGCCAAATCCCAGACATTTATTTTAGAAGACTGTATTATATTATGGGCTTACACATCTGACAATTGGACTATCCTCTTTAATGTTGTTTATGCACTGTAAATTCATCATTTTCAATCCTAAGTGCATCTTCTCCTACACTCTAAACATGATCTCATTATATATTGTCGAGATAAATGGTATTACCAGTTAACCAATTGCATAACACAAAAATCTAGACCATCACTTTAGATTCCTCTATGTCCTCTGTCTCACTTCCTATATCTGACCATCAACTACTTCTCATTATATCACCTTAACATCTTTCAAAATGACCTCCTTTTTATTTCTGTATACTGTATTAGTTCAAAATTTCATTATTTTTTCATAGGTCATGGCCTACTATTTTGGCTATCTCCTAGCTGCTCCCTGTGGTTCCTATTGAAGTGATTTTTCTAGAATTTATACAATCACTCACATGCTTACAACCCTTAGTGGTTCCCTGGGACTTTCAGAGCATGGTACATATTCCTTAGTTTACCGTACAGATTTTGTATTATATGGCATCTGCCTACTTCTCAGACCTTTTTTTCCCACTTTTTCATAAGCATCCTGTCTAATCCAGGTATGGTGATTGAATCTACTCTTTAAATTGTTCCAGTTTTCTTATCTTCACATCTTTAGACATGTTATTCCCTCTACCTAGAATGTCTTTTTTTCTCCTTAAATCATTTCATATTTGTCCTTCAAACTGAGCTCAGGTATCTCTGGAATATCTTTCCCCAGGCTGTTGTAGAATCTCACCCCTATATTCTTGAATTATTATTTAGACATAGAATCTCATTGAGTTGCTAAGTGCCTTGCCATTGTTCAGGCTGGCATTGAACTTGAGAACCTCCTGTCTCAGCCTCCCAAGCTGCTGGGATTATATGCGTGTGCCACCGTACCCAACCCAACATGATGTTTTGATAATGTATACATTGTAGAATGTTTAAATCAAGTCATTTAATATATGCGTGACCTCATATATTTCTGTGTGTGTTAAGAACACTTAAAATCTCAGCAGTCTTCAAGTATACAATGTGTTTTATTAATGATAGTCACTATGATGTACAATAGATCTCTTGGACATATTCCTCCTTCTACTTGAAATTTGTGTCCTTTGGCCAACATCTCCTCAATACCTCCCATACCTCAGTTATTCTGTTTTAAAAATAAGGTAAATAAGGTCATGTGATAGATATTATTATCCAAAGTACATATATGAAGACACAAATTGGTGTGAATATACTTTGTATACAGAGATATGAAAAATTGTGCTCTATATGTGTAATAAGAATTATAATGCACCTGCTGTCACACATAAATAAAAATTAATTTTAAAAAATAAGGTCATGATCCTCTAAATTGATTTCAAGACCTCAGTTTGAAAAACAGCCTTGTGGAATTGCGTTTTGGTATCAACAAAAATTGGGATCAACTTCTTTTTGACCTGTGTGATCTCACATATGATGATCTTTTTTTCACAGTTGTGGGATTAAATGTGATAATGCTTCTAAAAAAATTAGCACAGTGCCTGATATATAATAAACAATAAATGTTCTGTACTTTGGGAAATAGTTTTATTCCCCAAATAGGTCTATTCAAGCTAATACACAAAAATTAATATATTCTATAAATTCTTCAAAATTTTTATCATGATAACATCTAAGAGGGAAAAATACAGAAATAGTTTCACCTCTTAAAAATTGAAATTGCTATATAGTAGTTAATTTAAAAATACAATATAGATATCAATCCAATTTTTATTTAAAATGTCATAAATAATTAGAGTGGCAATAGGCTATTGAGAAATTGGAAAAGAAAATTAATTTAGAACCAAAAATTCAGTAATGTAAAGCCTGTATTGGAAGAAATCAGCTTTAACTTTACAAAGCACTAGGGCTACTTTAAACATTCTTTGGGGCTGGGTGTACATCAGTGGTAGAGTTCTTGCCTGGTATGTGGAAGGCCCTGGCTTCCATAACCAGCACTGCCAAAAAAAAGCTTTGAAAAGTCACATTTAGGAAAACCAACAGCATAAAAAATACTAAAATGAAATCAAGTAACTTTTTATGTTTTACCTTTTTTATAGGTGTGTGGAAGTAGTGAAAGCTTCTCAATATGTAGAACTAGCCAATGATCTGGAAATAAACAAGGCAATTACATACTTGAGACAGAAAGACTTTAACCAAGTAAGTTTAAAAAACAATTTTCAGTGAAATTTCTTATGTTAATTAGTCAAAGCAATGAAAACAGGGAAACTCCTTCCTAGAATAACGTTACTTGTGATTATTCTGAAGTTTAGTAAATTTATATGTCTATAATTTCCAATAATATAATTTTAAATTTTCATTAATTTTTATCTTAAAATGTAAATATTTTTCTTATCTAGTTGCTAAATTACCAAACCATATTCTAGTCCAGAGAGTAATTTTCCCTTGAAGTTTTCAGAGTTCCCCAAAGCAGTAAGACTTTCAGAATCGGGGATCATGCTCAGTGAGGAAGGAAGACTGAGAATGCAAATAGCAGCCAGATGCACTTCCATCCTGCTGTCCTCTCCAGAGAAATTCTTGTCTATTGTTTATATATTTGACTTACTCATTTACTCTGCACTAGAAATGAAAAGGTCCCACTGCTAGACATGGGGTTAGAACCCTATGGGTCTCATTGGCACTACTGCTACCTTGCTGCCTTGGGCAGAAGTGGAGTGGGTGCTTTGCCTTCCATAGTCTCTCAAATGGGACATAACTGAAATAAAACCAGAAGGCTTAGTTAGCCTTAAGAAAAAGAAGGGCTACCAAAAGAGAGTAGGCAGAATGAAACTTGATTTCCTAGTTTGTAAACCAGTGATTAGTGTCCTGCAGCTAGAAAACTCAACTCCTCCAGATTAGACCAAGAGAGCAAGGGCCAGAGAAAGCCACAGCATTTTCCCCACATCCTCTCCAACCTGTACTTTCAGTTTTTCTTCTTATTTAAGGACCTTCCTCTTATCTCTGAGAAACAGAAAGGACTAATCACTCTCCAGGGAAAGGGAAGAAAACCATCTATTCAGAAAATATGAGAGTAGAATAAAGTAACCCCAACATTCATGTAGTAATTATATGAGTAAAAGAGTGCAATGTTTCTATTGCATGTATTCATTTACTATACTTAATTAGTTTAGCATTTATAAAGCATTAAAATACTTTCAAACTTTTTTATGAATGTGACGTTTACTATTATAGATGATAAAAAGGAGAAAACCATAGTTGTTAGTTTTCCCTTGATGTTTTATTTTTAAATGTTCTTTTTAGAAAGGATGAACAATGCATTACAATATTTTGTTTTAAAACTGTGTCTGTCAAGGAATATGTCCTCTTAATTTTTTCACATTTAAAATTGTTTAATCCAGATCTTACTGTCTGCTACTTTTATCGCTGTTCTCATTTAAAGTATGTTTTATGTCATTTGCATGTTCAAGTTTTTAACATCAATTAGTTTACCTATATTTTTAAAATGCCACTTCTGCTTGCTTTTCAACATTGCTGCTTTCACTTTGTGTTTCTTTTATTTGTATATTGTAAGTATGATGAGGTGTGTATAGTATAATCTTAATTTGAAGGGAACACTATCAGGCTAAAAAGGATTAAGTCGGTACTACATGTAGTTTACAGAAAAGAATTTATGCCTTCTAAAAGGCTATAATTCTGAAATTATCCCTATTTTTTTTTTTTTTAGAAAAGATGCTGAAATCAGAGTGTAATCCTTTGAGATGGGATGGTATTTGTAGACAACTTTGTAATAGAGAAAAAAACACCACCCAAATAGTAAATTTTGTAATAGTAAATGAAATAATGCAGCTGGTCTGGAGGCCACCAAGAGCAGAGAGTCAGACTCAGTAGAAGACTGAAGCCAGGAGCTAGAGGCATCACCAGGAAAGAAAATGAAAATGGACATAGAGCTAATTTCCTAATTTGGGGGGAAGGGGATTAAAAATACAATTAGTGATGTTTATTTTCTTTGTTTTGTCATTTACAACTAGTTTTAACTAAATTTAATATTGATATTCAGTGTACTTTTATCAGTTCAGTGTACTTTTATCAGATTCATTTATAAATAATTTATGACATTTTACTTTTAAAAACAGATATTGGATAATGTATTCATGGATATGTAAAGAACAGTTGTGAAAACAGATTATTTCAGAAATGAAACTGAGCCAAAAAATACCTGAGAGTGTTCCTTTTACTAGAATAGTTAATAGTATAACCTTTTTAGAATATTTCATAGTTTAAAAACTTAAAGTATGAAATATATTCTTACTGTGTCAAATGTTTTTAAGTAGATATTTAAGTTCTAAATACTTTCATTAATTCTTAAGAAATAGCTTTGAATTGCATGGCTTTTTTATGTGTTACTTCAATTTTGGAAAAAAACATTTGAGAGAAACTAGTTTTTGTTTTAAGTGTAGCTTTAAATTATTATTTTTGAACTACAAAGGAGTAATTTAAAAAATTGAGAGGCTGGGGTTGTAGCTCAGTGGTAGAGTGCTAGCCTAGCTCGTGTGAGGCATTGGGTTCGATCCTCAGCACCACATAAAAATAAATGAATAAAATAAAGGCATTGTGTCCATCTACAACTAAAAATATATATTTTTTTAAATTGAATTTTGGGCTGGGATTGTGGCTCAGTGGTAGAGCACATGCCTAGCATGGGCAGGACCCGGGTTCAATTCTTAGCACCACATAAAACTTTAAAAAAAGGCATTGTGTTGTGTCCACCTACAAAAAAAAAAAATAGATTTTCTCTCTCTCTCTCTCTCTCTCTCTCTCCCTCCCTCCCTCCCTCCCTCCCTCCCTCCCTCTCCCTCTCCCTCTCTCCTTTCTCCTCTTTAAAAAAAATGAATTTAACATATTTCCTTGACTACAGAATGAATGGCTACCTTTTTAAAAAATTACTATTGTTATTTGTTAGTTTCTTTTTGTATTCCATTTTAAGGATGTCATAAATTCTAGAGAACAGCTTTCTTTTCCTGTGCACTTTATCTCAGAGAACTTATTGAATATATGAATTATACTTATTTACGTGCCTTATATTTTGAAGTAACACATTTATTGTGACACAATGTAAAAGTGAAGATTAAAACATTGCAAATCTTATTCAAAGTGAAATGTGGCTTACATAACTTAGAGATTCAAAACAGCAGGGCTTTCACATTAATACCTGTAGAAGTTATGTAAAGTATCCATGAAATGGTTTGTATAGGATGAGCAATAGTAGCAACAATAATTTTTGAAGTGAGTTTTAGAAATTTTTTGGCAGTTATATAAAATTCTTCTTAAAAAATAAGTGAGGAACACAATCCCAAAAGTAAGGATGTGATGTTTGGGTTTTTCTTTTCCAGTGTTTACTTTGTGGAATTATAAACAACTGCCCTAGAAACTTCTAACAGTTTTCTTTAAAGTCATCAAAAACCCTTTAAAATAATAACAATTTACTAATATTGTAACCAGAATATATGCAATCTAGTATTTTAAAATTATCTACCCTTCAAAAAATTGAGTTGACATGCTGGCTGGTATTTCCATCACAGAAGAATTGGTCAAACACTTGGAGTAGCTAAAGATGATGACCACTGTAAAAGCTAAAGCAGGATTTTTGCCTGAACATGACTGTTTACCAGGAACAGGAGGCACCAAAAGCATTTTCTATTTGGTAAATGTTCTTTAAAAGAAGGAAGAAAAGATAAACTCATTGCCTTTTGCTACCTGTTTCGTTCTTTCTGATATTATGCAGTAATTTCCAGGTTGAATACGAGTTCAGCTTTCATGTAAGGTATCTGGCCATTCCACATCTTATTTGGGTAACATTATCTCAGATTTGCCAGATGATTAAAAATATACTTTCATTTCTCTTGATTTGAAAATGTAATTATATTTGGATCTACTTCAGATCATTTTTTATAATATTCCCAGAATTATTTTTAAAAAATTATTTTTAGATGTTAATGAACCTTTATTTTACTAATTTATTTATATGCGGTGCTGAGAATTGAACCCAGTGCCTCATACATGCCAGGCAAGCGCTCTACTATTAAGCCACAATCCCAGCCCCCCCACCCCCAAATTATTTTCTGTTACTGGTTTTAGAAAATTCTCAGCCATTGATCTTTCTTTCCCTTTTGGAACTTCAGTTACATTTCTAGTAAACTTTTTCACTGTGTACTCATATGTCTCTTTTATGTTCTTTTTTAAGAATTTTTTTTTTTTTTGCCATGCAGTATCTATTCTGAATATTTTCTAAAATTTTGGCCTTAAAATTCTGGTTGACTCTATGGTTCTCTTTCTTCAAAAACTGCTTTTAGTATTTTATATAATTGTTTTTGTTGTTCTCTGTGGAATACTGGTCTTCTAAGGTAGTAATAGTCAAAAGAAAAAAAATTTAGAATATTTTGTAAAGAGCAAATAATATTATGTCTATTAGGTAAAACCTTGCAAGCCATCGTTCCCACCCCATTAGGTAGGAAGAACCCTAAACTGCTTCACATGAATCACAAGACTTTAGTATTCCCTATTGACTTTTCTTTATCACAGTCCTCTCTTCAGTTATATCTAATTCTGAATTAGATATAATTCAGTTATATCTAACCCATCTAATAGTCTTAATTTCAATTATTATATTTTTAGCTTCAGAATTTGTTTTTTATTTTTTATGAAATCTAAGTCTTGAATGAAATTTCCATCTTGTCATCTGTTTTCTTGAGCATATTAACCTATCCCTTTTGTACTCTTCCGTGGTCTTAACCCTCCATATTGATCTTTTTTTCTACCCTGAACTGGAGTACTGTCATTTACAATGGTATTAAATTCAGATATTCCATTTCTAGGCAGTAGATACCTTAAAAATGTTTGAGAAAAAGGACAGTAGAGTGAAAAGTGCAGCTGCAACCAACCTTTCATTCCTTTATTATCTGGTAAGTTTTATTTCTAACAATTAAGAATTGGTCATGTGTTATTTTTATATTGCTGAATATCTACCTAAGAATCATGCCTAATGAGAGGCCCCCCAAAAAAAGAGTGGTGGAGAATGTTAGTGGAATGTGAGGTGTATAGAAGATCTGATCATGGCAGGTGCTGGACTTGGGTGTTTGCCAACATGAGTGAGAAGACCATCTCTAATGGAGATGGGAGGGAGAAAAATTGTGGTAGTGAACATCATAAAATTATGGAACTACAGCTAAGGTGTGAGCTAGAGATATCTTTCAACTCCTTCCTGTTAGTGGTGAAGAAAAATATTTTACAGAGGAGTACCTCTGTAGAGGTGAAAGCTTAGATCGAGTATCGTAATCGTAGTACTGTAGATGGAGTATCATCTATAGCAAGCATTCATTGAGTGCCTGCTGACTGCAAATCATTGTTTCTTAATTTGTAATGATTGTTTTTTAAATTGGGAATGGTGGGTAAGTAGATGAGGAGGGAAGGTTCAAAATAGAGAACAATAAATTAATGTTGGTAATAAGTACTAAGGCATTCAGAAAAGACAAATAACATTTTAGTTTAGGATTTTCAGAAAATATTTCATAGAAAAGTTGGTTCTACAAGGTCTGAATATAACATAGAAGCAAGAAAGTGATGGGAAGGAAGTGTACAGAACAGTGATTGTGTTTTGTTAAATTATATCCAGTCCTCTTACAACTTATGATTTATGCACCACTGAGAATCACTGTTGTGCTGACCTGCTGTTATTAATGGAAAGGTACTATCCCTTATGTGTGCTAAGACGAAGAAATAGATGAAAGCTACTGGTTAAAAAAGGACTGCAGGGCTGGGGTTGTGGCTCAGCGGTAGAGCGCCCGCCTAGCATGTGTGAAGCCCTTGGTTCAATCCTCAGCACCACATAAAAATAAATAAATAAAGATATTGTGTCCATATACAACTAAATATGTATATTTAAAAAAAAAAAAAAGGGAATCCAGTATATAGAAACTACCGGCAGAAGAATAGTGCCAGTTGCATGTCCAGAGGGTACTGATTAGGGGGGAAAGAGGCTGTATGTTTTTGAATATATTTAAAATTTGTTTTATATTAATGGTGATACATCTAGAGAAAAATGTCCAGGAGGCATATGAACTGATCTCAGAAGGGAAATTGGGGTTGGAGATAATATTCAGTAGTCATCTCTGTAGAGGTGAAAGCTTAAAATTGAGAAATAACTTTGGGATATATAAACACTGAGGAGGCAAGAGTAAGATTCATACTGAGAAGATAGGAAAACAACCAAGATAGCATGATGTCTTTGAAGTAAAAGGTGGCACAAAGAGAAAGTAAGCAGCATTGATTCACCAGAGGGGCAGTTCAAAAGAATGGAACTTTAAAAAGGCCCCTGATGCCATTTAGATTGCAGATTCAAAATACAAAATGGAGATTTCTCTTGGCAGAGCTCTTCACATCAGTTTCAGGGGTAGGGTAAGAGGGGTAGGGGTGGGAATTTGGATCTGGAGGGACAAGCAGAATTGAGCAGAAAGACAAGTTGGGCTATAATGCAATCCCCAAAGTCCTTGCCAATCTTGGATGATGCTCTGAAGGTAGAATATCCCCCATTGGGGTGCGGGACTGGGTCTGTGTACCCCTGCATCAACCAGTCATCGAATATAGCCTCCCCACCAGGAAGAGGGCATTCACAAAAAGTAAGCAAAATGGCTCTCTCTCTTTCTCTCTCTCTGCAGCCCAGGGTAATTTCCAGAGAGGTCTGCCAGCTCAGGCTGGTAGACAGCAGCATTATCAGCACTTGTAAAAGACAAAGCTAGAGGGTAAAGTGCAGTATCTAGTACATCCATTAAATTTTGAGCTTAGAAAGTCATGAATGAATTTTGTGAAAATTATTGAATTGGTAACCACATCTTCACCAAGTTTGAAAAATGTATTGGAGAAAGCTAACAGCAACTTTTAAGGAAGGAAGGGAAAGAACTATTGTATTTGCAGAGCTGTTGGAGCATCTGATCAGTAAATTATTGTACCTGACTCTGAGGAAAGAGGTTATAACCAAAAATGTTATGACATAGCCAGGCGTGGTGGCACATACCTGTGATCCCAGCTACTCAGGAGGCTTTTGAGGCAGCAGAATCACAAGTTTGAGGCCAGCCAGGCAACTTAGCAAGTCTGTCTCAAAATAAAAAAGTTTTTTAAGAAGGCTGGGGATGTAACTTAGTGGTAGAATATCCCTGGGTTCAATCCCCAGTGCTACACACATCACAAAAAGTAGTTATGACACAAACTGATGAGTCTATTATGTAGTAGTATATGATATATAATTGAAAGTATATTGTTGTTATCCAGCATATATTTCAGTTTTCTGTTGCTGTGTAAAGAACTGTCCCCCAAATTTAATGGCTTAAAATGACCATGTATTTGCTCACATTCTGCCTCATGAGCTAGGTTTACCTGGGTGTTTCTTCTGCTGGTCTTGCATGGGGTTACTCCTTTAGCTCCCATCATCTAAGATTTCACTGAAGCTGGATGTCCAAATGCCTCTCTTCAAGATATCTAGCACTTGTTTGGTGAGGACATCACAGCAGGAGAATCCCAAGCTTCTTATGTGGCACAGGATTCCATGAGAGTGAATCTCAGTGCACAGGTACATATTAGGCTCCTGCATGAATTGAGCTTATAACTATTTTTTTAAAATATTTTTATTTTTAGTTATAGGTGGACATAATATCTCTATTTTATTTTTATGTGGTACTGAGGATGGAAGCCAGTGCCTCATGCATGATAGACAAGCGCTCTACCTCTGAGCCACAACCCCAGCATAGAGCTTATAACTGTTTTATTGGGCAGATCAAATATGGGGTAGAACCATTAATAGAGCACAACTACTGGGAGGTGTGATCCATTGGGGACCATTATTGTAACACTCTGCCACTACCTGCACTTTTCTTTTCATAAGCCTCATGTACTTCCCCCTTTCAAGACACATCAGAGTTTCATCTATTTCACCATATCAGGCTCAAAGGAAGGATCTGCGGCAGGTCTGGGTAGATGGGGCTTTCTCTGGCACAGTTCCTCTTCCCTGTGAAAGATCTTGAGCCAAAGATCTGTGGATGAAGACCCATTGTTTTCCCCTTTATATTTAACATAATACAAGGTCAGATAAAAGTAGGATTACTATAATAGATGCTCATATTCAGAAAGGAGAGGAATAGGGCACATGGCAGTCAGTGGTCCTTAGTAATTCTGAAACCCAGCTAAGCACACATGATCAACATCCCATAGACTGGAAAGAAGGCATGTTCCTTGATTAGAACCCCACTCTGCTGCTTGGGAGCAGTTTGTTAGTCTATTGTCCACTATAGCTAGTAGTTCTGTCCTCTGGGAGTATCATCCTTTTACAGAAGAAATAGCCTATATTTCAGCTGGTGAACTTTCTCAATCTTGCTTTCTACCCAGAGAAATTTGTGGCCCACGGGCCTACTTTTATTTTGTACTGGATCTGTTCCTTTACTTCAAGTTAGTAACTCTTTTGTCATTCTGACTCTCTTAAAAACGTGGAGGATTTTTTCTATAAGTCTCATTGAAGTTAATTTCATGACCTAAAAGCCACATGCATAATTCCTTTCAAGACAAAACCCTTTTTGCTTAGGTGTACAAGCTGTCGAATAGAGCCCTGAGGTCATAGAAGCCTTTTTTTCTACCTGAGAAAGTATGCAAGACAGTTACCTTAAATCTTTCTGAGATGTTTACAGAAAGTGTTACAACCATGCCCTTGAGTTGATCGTACCCTGCATCCATTTCCTATTTTGAGAATTTTTTGCCACCAAGAGAGACATGAAATAATTTTATTTTCCAACTCAGAAAATCTTGCTTCTTTTGTATTTCCTCTAAATTCTGTCTGCAAACTGAATGATTCTGTCTTTAGCTTGTCTCTCTCTTCCTCTGCCTTGTCACCCCCAGTTAAAAATAAGTTCATTGGCAATTTCAATATCCTGCTAGAAATCTCCTGTAAGTATCAGTTTTGTCAGTTGTTTCACAACTACCAACATGACTTGCCCTTTACACAGCCTCTGATAACAGTTTCTTCCTGACTTTCCACGTTCCAGTCCCAGTTCACTTATCTCTCCAGTCCCCAACAGCAGCCCTTCACATCTTTTCTAAATTCTTCCTGCTGCCTAGTACAAAAGACAGTGTTGTGTGTTTTAGTTTTTATGACAGCAGCACCTACTTGTAGGAAACAGTTTAAATGAGTCAAAGTCCACCCAAAATCTTGTACATGAATGTTCACAACAGCATTATCCATAATAAACAAAAGGTAGGTAGAAGCAACCCAAGAATCTATCAGCAGCGAAGGGATAAACAAAATGGTATATCCACATGATGAAATGTTCGTCAAATGTTAAAAAAAAAACAGATTACTGATATGTACTATAAGAACTTTAAAAATAGGCTGAGTGAAATAAGCCAGACACAAAAGGCCACATGTCACATGATTCCATTTATATGGAATATCCAGAATAGGCACAAAGATAGAAAACGGATTAATGGTTACTAAGAGTTACGGAGGTAGGAAAAATGGAAAGAGACTACTGATGGGTATAGGGTTTCTTTGGAGGGTAATCAAATATTCTGTAAGTAGACGCTAGTGATAGCAGCACAACTTTGTGAATGTACTAAATGCCACTTACTTGGACATTTTAATGATGTGGTTAATTTCATGATATATAAATTCTATCTCAGTTTTTAAAAAGTTTAATGGGGGACAGTCATTGTAGTTTTATGAGAAAAGAGGTATGGACACTAGGTCTTCCATAGTTGTTCAGGAGCCTTGATGGTAAGGTACAGAGGAGGGCTGGGATCTGAGGAGGAATCACTATCAATTGGTAAGTAGCAATGACACTCAGCTGCCACAGCAGGACCTGGATACCATCATGGGGAATATCTGTTGGAAGCTGTGGCTTCTGCACAGCTGCCTCCTAGGGGTCTGCAGTGAAGCCCTGCCACATAGCAGGGAGAACACACTTGGAAAGAAGAGTTTGATATGGAGTGGAGGTCGGCGAGGATAGGCTGGCACTTATGGGCATTGGTCCTGCGCCTAGTGACAAGAAAACAGAGTGCAGTGCGAAGGCCACTAGCTGTGTTAGTTCTGTATTCCAGATGCCATACAAGTTCCTCTTGTAGCCATATCTAGGCAAGAGTCAGAGAAGAGCCTGACCTGGCACAGGCTACCACAATACTTAAAAACAGATTCTGCCAGGCCCAGTGCATGCCTATAATCCCAGCTACTCAGGAGGCTAAGACAGAAGAATCAAGAATCTGAGGGTAGTCTAGGTAATTTAATGAGACTCTGTCTCAAAATAAAATTTAAAAAAGGACTGGAGATGTAACTCAAAGGTAGAACACTCAGGCTGGGGTTATAGCTCAGTCATGGAGCGCTTACCTAGCAGGTGTGAGGCACTGGGTTTGATCTCAGTACCACATAAAAATAAATAAAATAAAGGTATGGTGTCCATCTACAACTAAAAAATATTTAAAAAAAAAAAAAAGAACACTCCTGGGTTTGATCCCTGGAACTGCAAAAAGAGATAGATTCTTATGGCTCATGTGAGTGATGGCAAGGTCATGATTAAGCATTTGGCAGTGAAGAAGGAGAGAAATAAGAGATTGCTAAAAGTACAGAGGCCGTCTGGGCGGCGGGAGGGCCCCGCGGGGGGCCAGGCCGGGCGAGCCCCACGGCGCTGCCACGGAGGAGAGCGGGCCAGGAGGCCCCTCCGGGTGTGGGGCCCGGGACGTGTGCTCGCCGGACAGCGAGGAGCCCGGGGGCGGTAGGGCGGAGGAGCGCGGCCCGGCGAAGGAGCAGCCCACACGGCCAGGCGTTGGCTGCAAAGTCCGCAATTTATGAAAACCGAATATACAGCCTTAAAATAGAATGTGAACCTAAATACCCAGAAGCATCCCCCTTTGTAAGATTTGTAACAAAAATTAATATGAGTGGAGTTAATAGTTCTAATGGAGTGGTGGACCCAAGAGCCATATCAGTGCTAGCAAAGTGGCAGAATTCATATAGCATCAAAGTTGTTCTGCAAGAGCTGCGGTGCTTAATGATGTCTAAAGAAAATATGAAACTCCCCCAGCCTCCGGAAGGACAGTGTTACAGCAATTAATCAAAAGCAACGCCACCAGCCCTCCCCCCATTCGATTTAAGCAGTCTTCATTCTCCACCGTAGTAAATTTTCTAGATGGGTCTTGTAGACCTCAAAGTACTGGAAAGGAAGCTCCCATTCGAAGGCAATTTATCTTAAGATACTGTAAATGATACTAATTTCTTGTCCATTTGAAATATATAAGTCGTGCTATAACAAATCATCCTGTCAAGTGTGACCACTGTCCATGTAGTTGAACTTCTGGGATCAAGAGAGTCTATTTAAATTGATTCCCATCCTGACCGGTGGGGCACGTCTAACTCAACTGTGAAAAGACACTTCACACAGTCACCTTGCTGCTGATTATTCGGCCTGGGGGCTCTGCCTTACCCCCCTGCCCTGCCAGCCCTGGGGCAGCCCTGGGACAGCCCTCCAGCAGAGGCTTGCTAGAGTAGAGCAAAGGTTTCAGGTCACACCCTGGGGACTGCTGCTGGGTGTGGGGTGCTTTGCCTGCACCCTGGTTACTTTCTTAAGTCTTAAAGGACGCCCCTTCCAAGCCATCGTCCTGCCCCACTCTCCTCCACTCCCGTCCTTGGCCGAAGCATAGATTGTAACCCTCCGCCCCCCTTGAAATTGGCCTTCGCGAAGAATTCAGGGCTTTCCCCCTCCCCCACCTTGATCGAGGGGTGCTGCTTTTTCCCTCATCCTCAACTTCCTTGTCCACCTTCACCACCCGGCACTCTCCACCTCCCACCCCTGGCTTGGCCAGAAGCCATCAGGTCAGGTTGGAAATCTCTGACCTCCTCCTCCACATTTGGAACCACGTTTGATCACTTTCCACCAGCCCGGGAAATGAGCTTTGGGTCCTGGGTCCTGCCACTCTGCTGTCACCCTCAGCCGATGCATCTTTGGCCCACGTCTTTGTAAGATGGACAGGGCAGTCCCCAGGTGACATAGCCTGCCAGCCCTCAGGGTCCCTCTGTTTAGACCTGCAGGAGGCCTCGTGGAGACGCCTGTGAGCACACAGGGCCCCTCTGGACTATTCCCTTTCCTGTAATGACGTGGCTTTCAGACGTGAAGTAGGGTGAACAGGGCTCCCTGTGGGGCGCGCCTGCCATCCCCGCGGGCCCAGTGTGGAATCTGACAACTGGAACCAGAGAAACCTGGACCCAGCGCAGATACTGGGTTTGGTGCCGCTGCCTCCCCGGTGCTCAGCAGGGACTGAGGAGGAGCTGGTGTGCACAGCAGCTCCCAGCGTTGGCGGGTCCTGGCCTCCAGCACGTTGCTGCACCTCCCACTTTTCCTGTTCAGGACCACTGTGCTGAGACCTGATGCAAACAAATAAAGGCAATTCATGGTGTTCTGAAGGGTTTATTTTTTTTTCTTACTATTTTGTGTAAAACCACCTTTTGAAGCAGCAACTATCAAGTCTGAAAAGCAATGGATGTTCCCATTAATCTATTTCTGGGGGAAATCTTAGTTCTAAGGATTTAACATCCTGTAAGTAAAGTTTAACCTAACAGTATTCCATAAGCAGCCTTTTTCTTGTCAGACCATTGCCTGATTTTAATATAATAAAAAGTGTGCATTAATATTTCAAAAAAATAAAAATAAAAATAAATAAAAGAACAGAGGCCTTGTGGGTGATGCAGCCAGTGTGCAGGGGCAGGGAGGACAGGGATGTCTTTCTAGCTATTTCAGTGCTTCAGGTAGGAAGGGGAGCACTGCAATAAATGAGGACATGGAATTTGGGCGTTGAACATGGTACCACCTACATATAAATAGTGTTATTCAAACCATGAGACTGGAGAAGTCAGTCATAAGACACTTGGGTGGTTGAGCTTGACAAATAAAAATCTTTTGTAGAAATAGCCTATCAAAACCAAGATATTTAAAAAATACTTGTTTCTGTTCATTGTTATCTACAGTTTGAAAAACTGTTTATGATGTGTGTAATCTCAGAACAATATGAAAAGCTATTTGATGAAACTCAATTTGTATATCTTTTATACTTTATTTAGGAAAATGATTTTGCACAAGCCAGCAGCTATGCAGATTTAGCTGTGAACTCTGATAGATATAACCCATCAGCTCTTACTAATAAAGGGAATACAGTTTTTGCAAATGGTGATTATGAGAAGGCAGCTGAATTCTATAAAGAGGCTCTAAGAAATGATTCTTCTTGTACTGAAGCCCTTTATAATATTGGTAAGTGAAACAAGAAACAAGGCTGAAGTTGCTTTTTGTATTATATATATATATTTTTGCTAACTCATTAGGAGGAGAAGTTGACTTCCTTCCAACAAAAAAATTGAAAAGACCTTGCCTCTGAGATTACAGATTATTCTGAATATGAAATTAATGATTCCAAAGCTGTGCATATATAAAATTTGGGTTGATGCTGTTACATTGCCATACAAAGAAGCTTTTTCAATTTCTGTTCTACCACAGCATATAAGACTAATTTCACAAATTCTTATTGATACTGGATAATATAATTCTTTTTAACCTTTTCCAAACAAGTAAGAATCTGATTTTCAGGGCTGGAGTTGTAACTCAATGATAGAGCACTTGTCTAGCACATGTGAGGCACTGGGTTTGATCCTCAGCACCACATAAAAATAAATAAATAAAGGTACTGTGTCCATCTACAATTAATTTTTTTTTTAAAAAAGAAGTTTCAAATATACAAAAAAAGGCACACAGAAAACTTAAATACTCATAGTACCTTTCACCCCAGTTTAACACATTTTAACATTTTGCTATATTTACTTTAGATTTTGTTTTTAAGAAACAAAATATTGCAAGACATTAAGGCTCCCCGCCATCTCATTCCCTTCCCTGCTTTCAGAGGTTACCTGAAATGGGCATCATTGCTTCCTGGGCGAGTTTGCAATGTTGCAAACTAACATGTTTACATAATACTGAGTCTTGTCTCTTAGGTCATTATTGAAGTTTCTTTTAAAGTTTAATTCTGCTTGCACACATATTTTTTGCTTTTTTGAGTTTTTTTTTCTTTTATTATCTTTTTCCATGTTGTGACTTCTCTTTAGATATCTGATACTCTTGGGCTGTCTCTTGGTATTCAGCAGTTTGCAGCTAAAAGCTGAGTGGAAAGAGTCTGAGTTCGTGAGAGAGGCTGATGGACTGGCACTCAGTGCAGGCTGTCTGGTCTTTTAGTTGGGAATATGTCCTTTAGTCATTTGGATCTTTTTTCTCATAGGAGACTCTTCAGTCTCCTGCCTAAAAGGAGAAAGAAAGACCTGTAGCCAGCCTTGGAATAGTATCAATTTTAGATGGAGTCAGAAGAGAAAGCCTCACTGAGAAGTAACACATCATTTTGGAAGGGACAGAGGGTGTGGCATTTGGTATCTGGAAAGATCATTTGTGACACAGGGAAGAAAAGAGCAGAGGCCTTCATGCAAGAGCTTGCTTGATTAGATAGATGCTTATTTATTCACTTAATAAATTTTTACTGTTTTCTGTACTCATTGTTGTCTTTCTCCAATGCTGGGGATCATATTCAAGGCCTGGCACATGTTGTGCAAGCACTCTGCTACTAATCCATAGCCCCAGCCCTCACTTTTCTACTTTGACTTTGTTTATAATTTCTTTTGTAAAACAGAAATTTTATTAATATAATCAATTTTCACTTCTTAAAAATGAATGTTTTTTTGGGCTGGGGTTGTGACTCAGAGGTAGAGCGCTCACATGTGGGACCCTGGTTTTGATTCTTAGCATCACATAAAAATAAATAAGTGAAATAAAGGTATTGTGTCCAACTACAACTAAAAAATAAATATTTTTTTAAAAATGAATGTATTTGTTCATTGCTTTTTGAAGCCCTTGCTTTCCCTAAGATTATAAAATCATTTTCCTATATAGGTTGAGCATCCCTTATCCCAAATGCTTAGGACCAGAGGTGTTTGGGATTTTTTTTTTTTTAATACCTGCATATACATAATGAGAGATCTTGGGGATGGGACCAAGTCTGTGCATGAAATTCATTTTCATTTTATATCCACCTTATTCACATAACCTAAAGGAATTTTTTAATATTTATTTTTTAGTTATAGGTAGACACAATATCTTTATTTATTTATTTATTTTAATTTTATGTGGTGCTGAGGATCGAATCTAGTGTCTCACACATGGTAGGTGAGTGTTCTACCTCTGAGCCCCAACCTGAATGAATTTTATATGATATTTTAAATGTTCCTGTGTTTTTATTCTGTCCTGTCACATGAGGTCAAGTGTAGAATTTTCCACTTGTGATATGTTGAAGCTCAAAAGATTTGGAGCATTCAGATTTTGGAGCATCTTGGATATTAGATTTTCAAATAAGGGATGCTCAATCTATATTTTCTTTTCATATTCTTACAACTTTGCTTTTTCTGTGTAGTTTCAAAATAAATTTTGAATTTTTTTAATGAAATGAGAATCTATGTATTTTTTTTCCTTCATATATAATCAGTCGTTCTGGTGTCACTTATTACTTGTTCCTTCTGTTCCACCTATTTTTTTTTCCTTTGTGGTGCTGGGGGTTGAACCCAGTGCCTTGTGCATGCAAGACAAGCACTCTTATCAACCAAGCTATATCCCCAGCCCTCCCCACTGATTTTTAAATGCCCACTAACTAAATCCTATAGCTGAGTAAATTTCTGAACTATATATTCTTTTGATCAGTTTATCTGATGCTTTCCTCCCACCCCCACCCGTCACACTTTTAAAATTACTGAAGCTTTGTAACATGTTTGGTATCTCTGTGGAGATTCCCACCTACTATTGTTCTTTTTTTTTAAAGAATTTTAATATTTATTTTTTAGTTATCGGCGGACACAACATCTTTGTATGTGGTGCTGAGGATCGAACCCGCTTGAGCCACCTCCCAGCCCACTACTATTGTTCTTTTTAAAAATTCTCAGTTCATCTTCATTTTCTCTCCTGAATGACTATTTACATACATTTAAAAATTCAGTCTGTACTTTGAGTGAATTTATGCTAATAATAATGGTTATAGATTTTCCTTTCTTTTTTTTAAGGCCTTACTTATAAGAAGCTAAACCGACTGGATGAGGCTTTGGATTGTTTCCTGAAGCTTCATGCAATTCTACGAAACAGTGCCCAAGTTCTTTATCAGATAGCAAATGTGTATCTTAATTTGTAAAACCTAAGGACAGTTATTAATTCACTCAATTGGTGATTATCAATGGTGAATGAGTTTAACCATTGAGGTAATTGATGAGGATAATATTTTAAGTAAATGATGATCATAATCTAACTAGCAACAAAAATATTAATGTTTATGAAAACATTATGAGTAATCTTTAAAAAAATCATTTATACTCTAAGCAGAATTAGAAATTAAAACTATTATCATTTGTTAATATTTAGAAATATAGTATTTTGAGTAGACATAAGTTGTTCATTAAAAGTAAAGTAGATACTTTAGAACATTATATTCATACTTAGTCTTGCAGGGTATCATTGAAGCAGTAACTTACTAGTAAAAGGAAAATATTGTTCATTCCTAATTAGTACTATTGATTGAGTTTGGATGATGTATTTGTTTTGGCTAACAAGTAAATATGGTAAATATAACTCTCTAAAGACCTTTATCCTCCAAAATTATGCAATACTTTGTATGAACTTATTCATTTCAATTCATTCAGTAGTCATTTGTTGAATATGAATTGTGTGTGCCAGTATTATGTTTAGAACTCGGGGGAATGTCAAACTGTAAAATGCTGCTTTCATGTCAGTTTCTTTACAACTTTTAGCTTTCTTTAGTTGTGTTTTTCCCCTACTAACATTTAGAAAAGCAGAAATTAGTTAACATTTTTAATGCCTTTCACACTATTTGAAAAGCACTTTAAGTTTCCTCATTTTATTTGTTTATGTATTTATTTGTTTGTTTATTAGAGCTTAATGGTAAGTTCCCTCATATTACTAATGTTTGACCACAGCATTGAGAAGAGTAACATCTAGGTAGGTTTTACTATTATCTTGATATAAATTTCATGTAAAATGTTTAGGAAAAAAGTGTATTGTGAGGTATACCATTAATAATTTTAAGTATTATCTGCCATATTTTTGATAGCATAGATTTTTAAGTTTTAGTAAAAAATTTTAGATCTAATCTCAAAAACAAACCACACATGCATGCATGTGCACACACACACAAATGACTCTTCTTTTTAAATTAAACTTTGGACTGAAATATTTTCATTTCATTAAGACATCAAACATAAAAATAAATAATAAGTAAATATTATTGGTATGAGCAGATTATATGCATATATGCAGAAGATTTACTAGGTATTAAAGGATGCTATAAAGAAAGAATTTCCTATCTTTGAGTTTATAATCTAGTTAAGCAAAACTCCCAGGAAAAATGCATAAAGGTGATTCCCTCATTGTGAGGAATAGAATAATTGAACATTCAGACTTTTTTTAAGAACACAGTTTGCATAATGCTTTGAATATTTCTGCTAGAAATTTGGGAGTTACTCTCAGGGGAGCATAATGAAGTAAAAAGAAAAGATACATAGACAAAGCAAGAGTGTTATGTACAGAACTGCTCCATTTTTCATCTCCTTTCTTGAAGAAATCTAGAGTAATCAATATAAAATAACACATTAATGTAGGCTAAGAAATGTTTGTATTATAATATTGTTTTCAGTTTTGCTTGTTGATTAATGTATTTAGAAAAATTCTATTGCCCTTAACTGATATTGCCTAAGATATGAATTAATGGAAGATCCCAATCAAGCTATTGAATGGCTAATGCAACTGATCAGTGTTGTTCCCACTGATTCTAAAGCTTTGTCTAAACTAGGAGAACTATATGATAGTGAAGGAGATAAGTCCCAAGCATTCCAATATTACTATGAGGTATGTGTATTTTCTTACTTTTCTTCTGTTCTTTTTAGCACTTTATGAATTTTAAAGGCTGTAAGCCTTTAAAAGTTTAGAAAAGCTTATTTGTTTTTAAATGAATAATGATTTATTTAAAATAAAATAAAGCATTCTTGATTGTCTAATCTACTGAACTTCTCTCCCCTCTCCCGTTGTGGTTTAGTTTCCTCATTACAGTGAAACATTCAACCTTTGGTTTTTTCACTAAGCATAATAGTCTCCAGATCCATCCATTTACTGGCAAATGTCATAAAGTCATTCCTTTTTATGGCTGAATAATATTCCATTGTGTATATACACCACATTTTCTTTATCCATTCATCTGTTAAAGGGCACCTTAGGTTGGTTCCATAGCTTAGTGTAAATTGTGAATTGTGCTTATAAACATTGATGTGGCTGTGTCACTGTGGTATGCTGATTTTAGATCCTTTGGATATATGCTGAGGAGCGGGATGACTGAGTCAAATGGTAAATATTTTTAATTATAACTAGAAAATGAGAAGGTACAAATTCATTTTTAAGTTAAAACATGTTTGTAACCCTTTTTATTCCTTTAAATATTTAATCTGACTCAGATCATATATCAGTATATCTAAAAGATATTTATAGATAATTGAAAATGCATCAAAGCTGAAGTTTTCTAAATCTTGTATAGCTTCAAAACTTGAGAAGTACTTATGACAGCTCATACTTTTTGTTTAAGAAAGCTACATTGTGGATAAATAAATCCATTCAATAGATAAAGTATTCAAGAAGTATGTTGTGTTGCTACTGAAAATATTTTCACACTCTATGTCTTTTTTCAGTCATATAGGTTGTTGCTTCTGAGAATATTTTCACACTCCATGTCTTTTTTCAGTCATATAGGTGTTTCCCTTCTAATATTGAAGTCATTGAGTGGCTTGGGGCCTACTACATTGATACTCAGTTTTGTGAAAAAGCCATTCAATACTTTGAAAGAGCTTCTCTTATACAGTAAGTAACTTTATTAAAGCTTTATGTTTAGTTACTATCTTGTGTTAAAATTTTTTAGCCCTAGAAAATTGGTATCTCATAGACCTAATAAATTCAAGAAAAGTTATTAATAAACATTCATGAATTATTTTCATTTTCTTGTATTTTATTTTTTTTAATATTGTTTAGTTGTCAATGGACCTTTATTTTATTTGTTTATATGTGGTTCTGGGAATCAAACTCACTGCCTTACACATGCTAGGCAAGCACTGTACCACTGAGCCACAACCCCAGCCTTTGTATTTTATTTGGTCTTTATTGTGACAAATATATTTCCCTTTGCATAGGATTTTAAAAATATCTTCTATAAGGTACTTTCCTTTATGTGTTTTTTTATTCATATCTCTGTGAACAAAATATTATTTCTTTAAAATGATAAAATCACTATCTTAGTCCTAGGATTGATGTTGCCTAAGATTTGAATTGAAACCAATACTGCTCAGTGTTTCTCCTTCTCCTGTTTTCTTCTCAGATGTCTTTAGTTCCTCTCCTTTTTTTAATACTTCAATTTCACTGAAAATAGATGTCCTTTCTAGAAACTCCCCTAACATTTTCCTCTTCCTACTTTCCTATAATTTTACTTTTATTCCTTGATGATATTCAATATAAATCACATTACCTCTCCTCTTTCTGAGCATTTGTTTTCTGTACCAGATATCTTAATTTCTTTTATTTTTACATGCTAAATTCTTTTTAAAATATATTTTTTGTTTTTAATTGACACATAGTAATTGTATTTATATATGATATCTTTATTTGTCATGTAAGCTCTTTTGGGGTGGGAATGTTTTGTTTTTTGTTTTTTGTACCAGAGATTGAACCCAGGGGCATTTAACCACTGATCCAATCCCCAGCCTTTTTTATTTTGTATTTTGAGACAGGGTCTCACTGAGTCACTTACGGCTTCACTAAATTACTCAGGCTAGCTTTGAACTCCTTCCAAGCTGAGCCACTGGGATTACAGGCATGCGCCACTGTGCCTAGCAGGGAATGTTTTTATGTCACATAGTTCTTTGCAGTTTATAAAATACTTGATATATAGTTGAATTAAATTGAATTTCTGCCGCAGTCTGGCTGGGCACAAATGCCGCAGTCTGGCTGGGCACACAATCACGAGCCACCACACAGCTTGTAGATTCAAACAGCAACTCTTTATTCCCGAACTCACACCAGCCGTCTACCAACACGTTCTGGGGAAATCCACGTTCTCTTCCCAAATCCACGTTCTCTGCCCAAATCCACCTCCACTGGGCTTCTGTCTCCCAAAATATACTGTCTGAATCCCGTGAGAACTCAAGGGGAACTCAGGCAGCAGGATACGCCCTATTCCCAGCAGGAATAATCTTAAACCTTAAACCTGGAACCTAAACTGGGAACGCCCTAAACACGATTATCTTAAAACCGGGAACACCCTAATCTGCCTTGGTCCTTGAGCAAGGTCATGTACATTCAATGTCACTGCAACATGGGGTACGCTGGCAAGGAAATTGTCATACCTACTTGGCTAATGGCTCCCAGCAAATTTCCTATTATGTTTTTGTTTGTTTTACTGAAGTAACTTCTCACTTTATTGTATCTTTTATATTTTTGTATTTCTTGGTAATATGGTATTTTTTATAATTAGTTTAAGCCTATACTATTGTATTTTCTTTATTTCTGTAAATTATGTCGTAAAACTTCAAGAAATCCTAGGCTAACTGGTCCATTTAATGTAATCCTATTGCACAGAATTAGAGAATGTTCTTTAATTTTTATTATGATTATTATCATAAAACACCATCAGGCAGACTAGTATATGCAGTATATCTGGGAGCTGCACAAGGGGAAGAGAGAGAGAGAGGAGCAGAGAGATTATTTAAAGAAATAATGGCCAACACATCCCAAATTTGAAGGAGAACATGGATCTACAGGTCTAAGCAGCTCAGTGAACTCCTAAGTAGAAAAACCCCACTGAGATACATTATAAACAAACCATTGAAAGAGAATCTTGAAAGCAGCAAAAGAAAACTAACTCATCACATATAAGGAATTCTCATAAGATTATCAGCAGACTCTCAGCAGAACCTTGCAAGCCAGAAGACAATGGGATGATAAAGTCCTGAAATTAAAAAAAATAATAATAAGAAGTAAACTGTCAATCAAGCTTCCATCAAAACTATTCTCCAAGAATGAAGGAGAAATTATGACTTTTCCAGTTAAACAAACTCTAAATAATCTCATAAGTTGAAAAAAATAATAAAAGGCATCCAAATTGATAAGGATGAAGAAAAATTATCCCTGATTACAAAGAAATTGCAAAGGAATCCACAAAAAATATATCTAATCAATGAATTCAACAAAATTGAAGGATGTAAAATCACACAAAATTCCATTGTATTTCTGTATCCTTGCAATAGACAATCCAGAAAGGAAACTGAGAAATCAGTTCCATTTAAAAATAACATCAAAAAGAATAAAATAAGGCCAGGGCACAAGCCTGTAATCCCAGCAGCTCAGGAGGCTGAGGCAGAAGGATTGTGAGTTCAAAGCTAGCCTTAGCAATTGAGTGAAGCACTAAGCAAGTCTGTGAGACCCTGTCTCTCAATAAAATACAAAATAGAGCTGGGGATGTGGTTCAGTGGTTGAGTGCTCCTGAGTTCAATCCCTAGTTACCACTCCAATTCCCCGCCTCAAAAAAAAAAAAAAAAAGAATAAAATAAAAATAATTAATTTAACCATGAAGATTGAGAGACACTGAAATCTATTTGGGGTAAAATTGGGAGTTCATAACCAGCTTGAATCTAATGTATGAAATATGATATGTCAAGAGCTTTGTAATGTTTTGAACAACCAATAAAAAAAAGAAATTAAAGACATAAATAAATGGAAAGACACTTGTGTGCATGTATTAGAAGAGTTAATATAACACTTGTGTGCATGTATTAGAAGAGTTAATATAATTAAGATGACAATACTTTACTCTAAGCAATCTTAGATTCAATACAGTCTGTATCAAAATACCAATGTTGTTTTTTATTTTGTTGTTGTTGTTATTTTGCAGAAATAGAAAATCCATGCAGATAATCATATGGAATCACAGGGTATTCTAAATAGATAAAATAGTTTGAAAAGAAACAATGTTGGAGGACTCATAGTTTCTGATTCCAAATTTTCCTCCATTCTATTGGAATCAAAACATTGTCGTACTGGCAAAAGGATAGACATATAGACCAACAGAACAGAATCTAAAACCCAGAAATAACCTTCATATATGGTAAATTGCATTTCAACCAAAGTGTTAAAAGCATTCAATGAAGAAAGGACAGTCTTTCAAGAAAGTGCTTGGAAACCAGATATTCATCTGCAAAAGAATGAAGTTGGGGCTGGGTGCGGTGGCACATGTCTGTACTCCCAGCAACTTGGGAGGCTGAGGTAGGAGGATCCAAGTTCAGAGCCAGTCTCAGCAATTTATCCAGGCTTTAAATAACTTAGTGAGACCCTGTCTCAAAATAAAAAATAAGGACTGGGTATGTGGCTCAGTAGTTGAGCACCCCTGGGTTCAATCCTTGGTACCAAAACAAAAAACAAGAACAACAAAAGGAATGAAATTGGACCCATTCTTTATACCATATACAAAAATTAACTCAAAATGGACTAAAGATGGGGCTGGGGTGGTGGCTCAGTGGTAGAGTGCTCGCCTAGCATGCATGAGGCACTGGGTTTGATCCTCAGCACCATATTAAAAAACAAACTAATGTATCTACCTAAAACTAAGATACATAAATAAATAAATATTTTTTAAATGGACTAAAGACCTAAAAGTAAAGCTAAAAAACTATAAAACTCTTATAAAAAAAATCTTGGTGGAACATGTTCATGGCATTAAGTTTGGCATTGATTTCTTGTGTATGATACCAAAAGCACAAGAAGTAGAAAATTTGACTTCATAAAACTTATAAAAGTTTTTTTGATAAAAGAAATAATCAAAAAAGTTAAGATACCTACAGAGTGGGAAACATCTTTATAAATCATATACCTGAGAAGGGGTTAGTATGAAAAATTTATAAAGAGATCCTACAACTCAACAACAACAAAACATTTTTAAAATGAGCAAAGGGTTTGAATAGACATTTCTCCCAATAAAGAATACAAGCGTATGAAAAGATACTTACCATAATGAATCATTTGGGAAATGCAAATCAAAAACACAATGAGATACTACCTCATGCCTTTTAGGGTAGTATTATCAAAAAGGAAATAAGTGATGGGGAGGATGGGGAAAGACTGAAACCTTTGTTCATTACTGGTATAAATGGTGTTTTCTAGAAGACAGTTTGGCAGTTCTTCAAAAAGCTAAACTTAGAATTTACCATATGATCCAGCAATTTTACTTCCAAGTAAATATACAAGAGTAATAGAAGCAGAGACTCAAATACATATTGCATAGCAGCATGAATTATAGTAGTCAAAAGATGGAAACAACCCAACTGTGCATCAGTATACATGTGCAATGGAATATTATTCTACTATAAAAAAGAAGGATGCTGTGATTTTTACTATAATGTAGAAAGACCTTAAAACACTGTGCTAAGTGAGTGAAGCCAAACACAAAAGAAGTAATGCTCTATGATTTCACTTGTATGAAGTGTCTAAGATTAGGGTAAATGCACAGACACAGAAAAGAGATTCGAAATTACCAGGAACTGGGAGGAGGAGGATGAAACGTGCCTGCTTAAGCATTACAGAGTTTGTGTCATGTCAAAACATGTTTTGGAGCTGAGCACGGTTGCAAATGTCTATAATCTCGCAACTTGGGAGACTGAGGCAGGAGTAAGGTCCCAAGTTTGAGGTCAGCCTGTCTCAAATTTAAAAATAAAAAGGACTGAGGATATAGCTCAATGGCAAAACTGGGTTCAATTCCCAGTATCATGGGGGGAAAAATGTTTTAGGAATTGATAGTGGTGGTGTTTGTACACCATTGTGAATGTAATTAATGCCACTGTACACCTAAAAATAGTTAAAATGGCAAATTTTATGTTGTATATAGTTATAATTTTGAAAAGTTAATGGAACATACTAAAACTATTATGTTGTCTACTTTAATTGTGTGCTATGTAAATTATATTTTAATAATTTAGCTATTTATAAAAGGATGCATTCTGTATAATTTAATTCATTTAAAGTTCAAAAACTGACCAAGTTAACAGTGTTAGAAGTCAGAATAGTGGTTACATTTATAGAAGAAGAAGGATAACATTAGTATTCAGAAATACACATATTAATAAAACAGTATGATTAAAGCACTGCTGAGAGATTTTAGAGTGTTTTGGGAATACATAAACCAGTCAATCCATCCTGTCAGGGAAGAGTGTAGAAGTTGGAATAAGCCTCCAAGTAGAGGTGCTGGTATACACAAAGACCAAGAGTGTAGCAAATGCTCCTCCTTGGATTTTCAGTGGCCTGAAATGTTAGACAAGGCAAGGTAGAAGACGAGTTGGAGAAGCAGAAAATGACTAGAAAGTAGATAAATTGGGTTAGAATCTTGGATTTAACATGTGGGTGGAGGAGGTGACAGATTTTAAGGAGGGAAGTAATATGGTTAGATATATATTTTATTTAGATCATAGTAGGTGGGTGTGTAGGCAGTGGGTTTGAAGTTAAATAATTTGCCCAAGTAGCAGTGCTGTGATTTAAACCCAGATTTATCTGATTCCAAAGCTGGAAAGTTTGCCATCAAATTGAGTAGGGAATGAGGCTGTTTTTGAAGCCATCAGGTAAGTAGAATGGATATTCAAAAAAGTAAGAGGAGCATTAAAATGTTTCCTGGGTTTTTATGTCTTAAAATCTCTTCATTCTTAGGTATTTTTAACAGTTGTCAGGTATTTATTTATAGAAATCCTATAGGTATTTATTTTAGAGAAAAAAATTATTCCTTTTTAAGGGAAAATAAAGAAATATAGTATCCTATTTTGCTGTCTTTTTATTTTTTTATTGGTGCATTATAATTATACCTAATAGCAAGATTCATTTTAACATATTTGTATATGCATATAACATAATTTGATCAATCTGATTCCCTGGTACCCACCTTTCCCTTTCTTCCTCCCTTCCCCTGATCCTCTTGCTCTATTCTACTGGTGTCCCTTCAGTTAATTATTTTTTCATTAGTGCTTTATAATTATATATATGAGATTCATTGTGATATAATCATATATAGATATAGTGTAATTTTGGTTGATTTCATTCCTTAATACTTCCCCATGCCCTCCTTCCTCCTTTGCTCTCTCTTTTGGTTTAAGCTTGATTATTCAAACATAAGATCAAAAATTGACCCTTAGGTATTAAATTTGTAAGCTTAAATGTTATGATTAAAGATTATGGCAAAAATGATGGTCATGTTTACAACAGAATGAAATGTTTTTTAACTAAGTAGGTTAAGTGGTTCGTAAGAATATCTAAATAAAGCATGAAATAATGAACTTTGAAAGGCTCTTAAATTTAGATGTTATAATGTAAATGTAACGAGCTTTAATGAAAGAACTATATATCTTCCATTTTCAGTAATAACAATGATCAAATAACAAGGTCAAAAAGTAATTGAAAGTACAGATATAAAGGTTTATAAAACTGAACGTCTCAAATTATATTTGTTTCATCTCTAATTTCAGCTAATTTATTATTTCTTTTGTAGGCCTACACAAGTGAAATGGCAGCTGATGGTAGCTAGTTGTTTTAGAAGAAGTGGTAAATATTTTTACTTTATTCATTTTTTATTTATTTTGCTTCTTTCCTTCCTTCAGTTAATTATGCATATAAATGTGTTCAAGTTGCATGTTTTTTAAAAACACTAGCTTTTTAAATAACTATACGTAATTAAGCATTATATGAAAAACACAGTAATTACTGCATATTACAAAGTAGGTATTGTTTTTCTTTTTGTTTTTACAGTATTGGGGGTTGAGCCCACGGCCTCTGCCACTGAGCTACTTCCCAGCCCCTGCAAAGTAGATATTAATTATGTATTCCAATACCTGTATTAAAAATGGATTAGTTCTCAAAATTACATGTAATCGTTTTCACAAGTTAGCTACAGAAAAATAAGGATTCTTTTTATATTTTTTAAATTTTTCTTTGTAGTTGTAGATGGACGGAATGCCTTCTATTTATTTATTTTTATGTGGTGCTAAGGATCAAACCCAGTTAGGCAACCTCACATGTGCTAGGCAAGTATTCTGCCACTGAGCTACAGCCCAAGCCCCAGATTCTTTTTATATTTTCGTTTTCTATTCACATGATTCTCAAATGCCATGTGTATTCACCCAAATTTATAATAGGAAAAGTATCTCACATCTGAAAAGCTTAAGGAAAACTCAGAAATAGAACTAGACACTTTTTAATACCTAAGATCACTAGATATCTTGGTTTATATTTTCTGCTACTGCTTTTATTACATTCTGTGCTGATACCACTTGTCCTGAAGGATAGAGATGACAATAATTTTAGAATAACTGTGAAGTGAATGACTTTGCTTAAAATATCTGAAATTAAGCTAGGAGATTGATGTTAACAAATTTATAATCGCTCTTATAGAATATAAAAATGACCCAGGTAAAGATAGTCTTCAATTCAAAGGAAACACAAATTGTGAAAGTGTTGACTGTGTATTCTCACTCAGTTTTGTAGGAAGTGTCTTTATCTTTGAGCACCTTCAGTATGGCACCAGAGAATATTTTATACACACTCCAGTATAGGGCTTGATCTATAACATTACTATAATCCTACTGGATATACAATTTGACTGTACTATATACGTTTTATTTATATCAGTGTGAGTTTCCAGTTGTCTAGATTCATTTCAATGTCAGTCATGTAAAATGTACGAAAACAAGCTCTTCTGACTGCTTGAGTTATTGAAGTGCAAGGTTAGAAGAAACAGCATACATTTATTAAGAATTTGCTATATGCTACATGTCTCCTATCCCTATTTCATTTAGATCTCACAACAACTTTTCAAAAATTAGAATAGCCATTTGTCTTACACAGTGAAGCCCAGAGAGATTTTTAACTTATTTGGTGAGATTTTGGGAAAGATCTTTGACCTAAACTCATTTTTCCTATTTATTACTGCTACACGAAGCCACATTTTTTATTATGAAAAAATTGCTTTCAGTAGACTTTTCAATGTTTTAAAAAAAATTACCTTTTCCTACTAGATAATGACATTGAAATTACTTTTAGTTTATCACAAATTATTTTTAAATTTATCAGTTGTTCATCTGGAAAATTCCTTTTTCAGAAATTGAATGGATCTTAATTTTAGCCACTAAAATATTTATTTTAAGAAGTAAAATAAGTTCCAACCATTACCCATTTGCTTTTGCTCTAGCCCTTTTTAAATTTATTTTATCTGTACATTTTTCTCTCACAAGTTATAGTAAGAATGTGTATAGCCTGTGGCAAATATGAAGGCTTTCTGCCAAACCACAAAGGTGTGCAAGCATATTAGATTAAAATTAATATTTTGCCAAATCCTATTGATTTGTATAATTTGCTAATGTATTATATTTTTTTATTTATAGGTAACTACCAAAAAGCATTAGATACTTACAAAGATATTCACAGAAAATTTCCTGAAAATGTTGAATGTAAGTGATCTTACATTTTATAACTTTGAAGGCACAAGATCGGTCTCATATTTTAGTTCTAATATAAAATTACATTTGCTGAAGTAATTACATACAAAAGTGTCACCTGTGTTTTCTGATACATGTATTTAATGTTTTCATAGAATCAGAAAATTTGACTATGTAAATATGTATTTTTATAGAATTTAATTATTGATAGATTTTTTAATAGAATACTGAATTCTCTTCAGTAATAAAATATCTCAAGTTTTATAAAATTTTTTAAGAATAAATTTTAACTTATTGAATTTTTAAAGTTTATAAACTGTGGCATTTTAACTGTTCATTTTCATATATGATGTTTTGAGGTTGAAAAAATACTTTTAGAGTTTATGAAAATAGAACATTAATAGTCTTGTTGATGCTGATAGCAAATGATTTTTAATGTTACTTTTAATTTTTAAAAAATTTTTTTTATTTATAGATGGACACAATATCTTTATTTTGTTTATTTTCATGTGGTGCTGAGGATCGAACCCAGCACCTCACATGTATGAGGCAAGCGCTCTGCCACTGAGCCACCACGCCAGCCCTGTTGCTTTTAATTTTAAAATATTATTTCAATATTTTATTTCTCAGCGGTAAATTAGATTTGTAGAAAATATTCATTGATTTCTCATCATGTTACACAATAGATTTCATGCAAACTTTATGATAATGTGAAGTATTACAACAATAACAACAAAATCAGGATAAAGAAAAAGAGAAAATACCTAAATTCATTTACTGTGTGTACTCATTGAACTGTATTTTTTGCCCTGAATTGCCTTGTACACAAAGGAAAGAAAAGAGTTAGTTATATAATATTATTTTATGAAGAAGTAAAAACTAGTTCCTTGAGAAGAAAACTTTCAATTCTTAATTGTACTTGAGACACCAAGACATGTAGCAGATAGTCATCGAAAGATACAGTAAATACTTCAAAAACATCTGCATCAAATGAAACAACATGTTTGAAAAGACTACTTTTAATTTTTTCCTTTACTGACAATGAATACAAAAAGGCACATTACAGTTTAATAGAAATAAATCTGTCCTGAACCGAGTTTTCTGATGACCCAGACTGAATCAAGGATTAAATAGACATTCTGCATGTCCCTTAATTATATTTCTCCATGTGTCTTTTATTTTAGCTTTTATTAGCTCTGCAGTAGATAGCTCAGCTGTGATCTTTGGTAATGGTGCAGGATCAAGGTATTCTTTAAGGCTATTTAGAAGTAGGTTTATAAATTCATAGCTGCATGCCAATCAGGAAGCAGGCTACAAGGAAATTACTTGTAGAATTCTTTGAAAGTACAGACTTCTAGTTTCCTACCTTCAGATTGTCATTTAGGTATGCAGTGACATACCTAAATGACATTTTTTTTACCTTAATTTTCTTTTTAAAAGCATTTGATGTGATTCTTTGTTGTTGTTGTTCTTTTTAGATATACATGACAAGAGTGCATTTTGACATATTTTATATATATATATATATATATATATATATATATATATATATATATATGGAGTATAACTTCCAATTCTTGTGGTTGTACATGATGTGGAGTTACATTGGTCATGTATTCATATATGAACATAGAAGAGTTATATCCCATTCATTCTACTGTCTTTCCTATTCCCATCCCCTCCTCTTCCCTTCCTTCCCCTTTATTTAATCCAATAAACTTCTATTCTTCCCTCCCCACCTTTATTGTGGTTAGCATCCATATATCTTTGTGAATGGGATAGTTTTCCAACTTTCTCAGAGAGAACATTGGCTTTTGGTTTGGGGAGTTGGCTTATTTTCACTTAGCATGATAGTCTCCAGTTCCATCCATTTACCAGCAAATACCATCATTTCATTCTTGTTTATGGCTGAGTGATATTCCATTGTGTAGTACCAATTTGCAGTCTCACCAGCACCTTTTTCCCCACATCCTCACCAACATTTACTGTTACTTGTGTTCTTGATAATTGCCATTCTGACTGGAATGAGATAAAAATCTCAGTGTAGTTTTAATTTGCATTTCTCTAATTGCTAGAGATGTTGAACTTTTTAAAATATATTTGTTGACCGATTATATGTCTTCTTCTGTGAAGTATCTGTTCAGTTCCTTTGCACATTTATTGATTGGGTTATTTGGTTTGGGGTATTAGGTTTTTTAATTCTTTATATATCCTGGAGATTATTGTTCTGAGGTGCAAGTGCAAAGATTTTTCTCCCATTCTATAGGCTCTCTCTTCACATTCTTGATCATTTCCTTTGTTATTAAGAAGCTTTTTAGTTTGATTCCATCCCATTTATTGATCTTGATTTTTCTTCTTGTACTTTAGAAGTCTTGTTGAGGAATTCTATTCCTAAGTCAACATGATGGAGAGTTGAACCTGCATTTTCTTCTAGTGGATGCAGGGTCTTTGATTCTAATGCCTAAGTCCTTGATCCACTTTGAGTTGAGTTTTTGTGCATGGTGAGAGATAGGGGTTTAATTTCATTTTGCTGCACATGGATTTCCAGTTTTCCTAGCACCATTTGTGGAAGAGGGTATCTTCCTCCAATGGATGTTTATGGTGCCTTTTTCTAGTATTCAATAACTGTATTTATATGGGTTTATCTTTATGTCTTCTATTCTGTACCATTGGTCTTTATGTCTGTTTTGATGCCAATACCATGCTGTTTTATTACTATAGCTCTGTAGTATCATTTAAGGTCTGGTATTGTCATACCTCCTGCTTCATTTTTCTCACTAAGGATTGCTTTGGCTATTCTGGTCCTCTTATTTTTCCAACTGAATTTCATGACTGCTTTTTCTATTTCTACAAAGAGCATCATTGAAATTTAAATGGGAATTGCATTAAATCTGTATAGCATTTTTGGTAGTATGGCCATTTTGACAATATTAATTCTGTCTATCAAAGGACATGAGAGATCTTTCCATCTTATCTTCTAAGGTCTTCTTCAATTTCTTTCTTTAGCATTCTGTAGTTTTCATTGTGGAGGTCTTTCACCTCTTTTGTTATATTGATTTCCAAATATTTTTTTGAGGCTATTGTGAATGGGATAGTTTTCCAAATTTCTCTTTCAGTTGATTTGTCGCTAATGTATAGGAATGCAATTGATTTGTGGGTGCTAATTTTATATCTTGCTACTTTGCTGAATTCATTTATGATTTCTAGAAATTTTCTTGTGGAGTTTTTTTTTGGGGGGTCTTCTAAATATAGAATCATGTCATTGGCAAATAGAGATAGTTTGAGTTCTTCTTTTCTATTTGTATCCCTTTAATTTCTTTCTTTTGCCTTATTGCTCTGGCTAGAGTTTCAAGGACTATGTTGAATAGAAGTACTGAAAGAGGGCATCCTATTTTTAGAGGGAATTCTTTCCATTTTTCTCCATTTATAATGATGTTGGCCTGGGATTTAACATATATAGCTTTTACAATGTTAAGGTATCTTCCTACTATCCCTAGTTTTTCTAGTGTTTTGAACATGAATGGATGCTGTAATTTGTTATGCTTTGTCTGTATCTATTAAGATATAAAATTATGTGATGCTTTAAGTCTATTGATGTGATGAATTACATTTATTGATTTCTGTATGTTGAACCAACTTTGCATCCTGGGATGAACCCCATTTAATCATGGTACACTATTTTTTAAAATATATTTTTGTATGCGATTTGCCAGTATTTTTGCATCTATGTTTTTTGGGGATATTAGTCTGAAGTTTTCTTTCCTTTGATGTGTCTTTGATTTTGATATCAGGGTGATACTAGCTTCATAGAATGAGTTTGGAAGGATTCCCTCCTTTTCTGTTTCATGAAGTAATTTGAAGAAGATTGGTGTTAGTTCTTCTTTGAAGGTCTGGTAGAACTCTGTTGAGAATCTCTCTGGTCCTGTGCTTTTCTTTGTTGGTAGGCTTTTGATGGTATCTCTGTTACACTAGAGAACTGGTGCTTTAGAGATTACACAAGAGAGAGCGTGATAGCAGTGATAGTGCTATAAAAATGGAGCAGCTCAACAGTCTGGCAGGCTGAAGAGTTTCTCAGCCTAGCACTTCAGACATTTGAGATTGTATAATTCTGGGTTATGAGAAGCCATCCAGTAGATTTTAGGATTTTTGACAGCATCCGTGACCTCTATGAACCAGATGTGATAGCACTTTCATCCCCAGTTATGAAAACTGAAAATCTTCAAACAAGGCCAAATGTCCCCTGAGGAGCAAAACTGCTGCCAGATGAAAACTACTGCTGTAGCCACAGCCCTTCTGCACAGGGTCCGGGCAGGGAATACCTTTAAGCAAAGCCAAGATTTTTCCTTTATAGAGAATTTCAGAATTACTCTAAAAATTAAATGAAAGATTATATGCCATAAGAAATGTTCAACATGATTTTGGCCTATACAGTTTTCAATACAAGTGTTATCAATAGACTATCTTAACTGTAGCTTTAGAAAAATTATATTGATACCTGTAGCATGTCTTATTTTTAGCTGAGTAGTTTCAAATGAACCAAACAGGATAATTTAGTTTTAAAATATATTCTTCACTCAAAAATTGGCCTGTTCTATAGACTGCAGGTGGTATTCTACATTTCATAGGACATTCACCAAAATAAATGATTTTTATTTTACATTAAATATCCTAAGACACACTCTTTGGAACTTAGGCAGATAAGAGAAACAGTTGTGTGTTATTTGTAGAAAATACAAATTACCAGGGGCTGGGGTTGTGGCTCAGTGGTAGAGCACTTGCCTTGTACATGCGGGACCTAGGTTCGATTCTCAGCACCACACAAAAATAAATAAGTGAAATAAAGGTATTATATTCAACTACAACTAAAAAATAAATATTAAAAAAAAAGAAAACACAAACTACCTTCTACTTTCTTATAGAAAATACAAATTACCTGTTAATATAAGTGTATACAAAGGCAATTTTTATAGTAGTATGTGGACATTTTAAATTATTTTAGTCTTGATACTTTG